TTTTCATGGTATTAATGGAAGAAATTAGTGGACCCATATTTAGTGAAACCCACCAAAAAAAAATCAGTGGACCCCACTCTATATGAGTGTTACGTACACATCTATGTACATTTATTATGTACTTGTAGCATTTTCCTTAATGGAATTTTATAGAATAACATAGGAATTTATTTTCTTATTCAGTACGACTAATTTCAATTTTTTTTATTCACTTTTTCTCTCTATTAAAAAACTCCTCGACCAAAGGTAAAAAGGTAAAAATCAGACATGTAAACTGATTTTGTCGAGAAACTTGACATTCGCAGAGATCCCCCAGAAAAGATGGTCGTCTTCGGTAGCCGCGCGCGGTGGGAGCGTACCAACGATACGGAGGACTGCAGACGATGGGAGAATGTCGTGAAAGCAATGCCATTTCCACCCTCCGTTAGAGTCCACAAGATCTGCGATGACGGTCTGAATATTAACCGACTGCAATTTATGGGTAAGAAACATCGCTAGTGGCCCACTCGAATCTAACCAAGTGTCGAGCCAGAAACGTGTTGTTTCGCAATTCCCCAAAATCCACCGTACACCTTTGACGACATGCGGCCAGACTTGGCGAACACCGCGCATCAAATTCGAGACATGTCGCCTGTTTCCCAAGTCCATGTTGGTCGATAAGTTTAAATCGTACTTAGCCGAGATCACACGTACCCAAAAGAAATCTGGTTTAGTTAATAAACCCCATCCTACTTTCATCAGGAAAGCATCATTCATGCGGCGGAGGTCCCCGGACACCCAACCCGCCCTCATTTTTGTGCTTACAAACATCCTTCCATACCACTAAGTGCAACTTTCTTCGGTCATCAGTGCCTCCCCATACAAATGCGCGACATTTATTTTCAAGGCCATCCGTGGTAGCATGGTTGTTTGCATCGAGAAGAAAGGGAGGGTGCTCAAAGCTGACTGCGTAAGGGTCACCCGTCCAGCCAAAGAAAGCATTTTCATGCGCCAGCCGGCTAATCGAGACTCTGTCTTTTCCAAAATATGGCTATAGGTGTCTTTGGTCATCCGGTCGTGGAGAACTGGCACGACAAGATACTTCCCCAAATAATTCGTGAGTTTGAAGTTGAGTGTCGTCGAAAGCCTTAGTCGCTCATGCATCGGCACATTATGGGAAAAAAAGACCTACGTTTTTTCCGGGCTAACTCGAAGTCCTGAGCGGGAGTAGAAACTATGGAGCACCTGTCTTAGAGTAGCCACTTGAGCATCTGATGCCTCCAAAAAGAGAAGAAGATCATCGACAAACATAAAAAATGGCACGTTAATCGCATTTCGACCGACCGAGATGGGGCGCCAATACGGAGCCTCCACCGACTGACAGATGCTTTGAGCCAGTCGTTCCATGCAGAGCAAGGGGATATGGGGTCTCCATGTCTGACTCCTCTAGTGGGACAAAACTCCTCGCCAATCGTCTCATTCCATAATAATTCATCGAGGTAGAGGTAAGGCAGGCCACGATAACTCTAACAAACTTCTAAGGATAGCCCACTAGACGTATGGTTTCTTCGATATAATCCCATCATAAGTAGTCATGAGCCTTTTCGAGGTCCACTTTAATGACTATGAACCCCATTGGCCCCCGTTTCCCATGCATCGAGTGAATTAATTCTTGGGCGGTGATGATGTTGTTCGTGATTTGACGTCCCGAGACAAACCTGGCTTGGGTCGGATGAATTAACACGGGTAAGGTACTCTTCAGTCTATTCACCAGAACCTTAGTGAATATCTTGTAGATCACGTTCAATAAGCTTATCGGTCGAAAATGCCGGATGGTGCTAGGATTCTCGACCTTATGAATTAACACCAGTAAGGTTTGATTCACTTGGTGCGGGACCTTCCCATGCTGCCACATTCCCCAGATTAACCATTGAACATTCGGGACAATTCCCCAGTTTTGCTGAAAGAAGAGAGCATACAGCCCGTCCCTCCCCAGAGCTTTGAGAGGACCCATTATGTGCAAGGCCGGTGTAATCTCGGTGTCCGTGATATCATCGTCCAGTCTGCACATAACATAATGTCGCAAAAGGGAAAGAGATTCTCCGGGCTCTCCTGCGACATCGGGTTGTGTCCGACAGTGTAGATTCCTTTGAAGAAATCCGTAGCCAAACGACTCAGTGCCTCCTGATCTGTGACGAGGGTGCCCGCGACATCCGTTAGTTCATTGATGCGTCCCCTACGTCGCCGGTATTTGATTTGTCTATGGTCGTAGGTCGTATTTCTGTCCCCTAAGTAGTTCTAGTCCCTCGTGGCCTTTTGCAAAAGTAGTAACTCTTCTTGTCGAATAACGTCATCTAACTCCGTTTGAAGTTGTTTTTCCAACGTTACAAGACAATAGGAGAGGTGACAGCGTCGCTGAATACCGCCCAAGTGAGCCAACAACTTCCTTTTTCGTTGAAAGATAATGTCGAAGACATTGCGATTCCATTCTCTTGCTGCCATAGTGAAAT